TTCCTGATAAATATGTATTAACAACAACGATACGTGTGATGCTACATAAGTTGATATTTTTTGCTTTTTTTGGTCTTATTCCATCTGTATTCGAGAAAATACTCGAAGAATTTTAGTTACTTCATTTCATTTCAACGTAGACATCTCAACGTCTGCTGAATAAGCTTGCACACAATTTCCATCTACATGGAGTTGGTTGATAATCTGAAAATACGCAGAAGTTTTATTATTCAATCGATTGATGATGCAAATTTACTTTCGTTATTTTTTTGTGTTGTACAATCACAAGGAAATTTGATATCTTTCATTAATGATGCCAATCGACAGCCGTCTATTTGATATCTGCAGGTTCTATGTATGCCACAATAATCGCTGATGCTTTTCAGTAAATTCAGTAGGTTGGAACCGACTAAAAAACGCGACTGTTTTTGGGATGATATGTAGAAGTTTCATTGAAACTAGTATCGAGGGTTTTCATCAAAAGCAATTCAGAAAAAAGTTTACTTCAAGAAATGGCGAAATTAGTTTAGACTAAAAATAAGATCAAAAAGAAACAGTCAAAATTAGAATTGACCAGCAAATGAAAATTCAAAAACTTTATTCGCTGCTTGCCTACCTGATCGAATAGCCCTTCGAGGCTCAACTGGAAAGTGAGTGTATGCAGCATATGGCCTATACCCTTTAGCCATTATCTCAGAAAAAAGTTCGTCATCCTGAAAGATTGTGTAGCATGCGAAATTTTCATTTAAAGTAGCTGAAAATTTATGAGTTCTGAAGCGGTGAAAGAGTTGGCAACTGATGTATGCTGAATTAAGTGAAAATCAAGCTCCTGACAAATGAGGCTTGCTTGATGAAAAGTGAAGACTTACGACGTATGCACGACTGTGTGCCATGCTGTTCAACAGTGATAGCAATAAGCACGTGAAAAATGCACTCATCTTTTGCATGTTCTACTGTGTTGTGTTTGAAGATTACCTGCAAGAAACAACAACAATGATAATTGTTTAATAGCAGCCTCGAATAAACAACTGATTATTCATCGACGCATTGCGAGTCAGTAACATCTATGATGGTGACCAGTCGTTGCAAGCACTATGTGTGGCCGACCGACGGTTAGACCGGCTCTCGTAGGTGATGTTGCTCGGTTCTGCGCAATAATTGCGGTTGATGACAGACGAAACAATGAATTCATCAGGGTATAAACTGAGTTTTTAGTAAGCCAATTGAAATCGTTTGTTACCTACCAACCTATCGTCCTCAACAACAATAATGAAATTATCGCAAACCAGTCGAAAGCAGCAAACATCTTATAATTTTGCAATTAATACAATTTATTAGCAACAAACGACCTCAATCACAAGAAATTGCTTAGATTTAAACATATAGTAGATGATGTGATGCTGACGGGTTGAAAGGACTTGCTTCTCTCAGGTAGGGTCGTTTGAAGCAAAACAAAGGCGATAACGCGAAACGACCACTCTTTATTAGAAGCAAATAATAGTAGGTGAAATTACGAAATCAACAGCCGAAAGATTAGTTGATTAGCGGCGAAATCATACATCGACACAATTCTAATAATGTTATCGTCATATCGCAATAAAGAATTTGATTTATTCGAAAAGCAAAGAAGGACAATGAGGGAACAACTTCAAGTGAAATGAGTTAGCGTAATCGCATTATCAACACTTAGAGAAGTACTTATTAGTAAGCTGAAAGATATCGCAAATACAATTGAATACTTGACAGATCGTAGTTGTGTTGGTGACGATCGGATATTGAATTTGTATCACTACATTAACTTGGCGCTTGAATGTTTTAATCAGAAAAAGAAGAGAATCAGTTTCAAACCCTGTCATACTTCGAAGCCATACATTTGTCCGTTGTTTATCGCCAGAAACATTAGAAAATCTCTCCAAGAAGTGGGCAGTTCAACGAATAAGCTCAAGATCTCTTCTTCAATTAAAACATAACTTTGAGATTGCATTCAAAATCGCTTGAATGAGCTATGTGCGTATGCTAAAATGAATGTTTCGAAGCGTGATAAGATGAGTGAATAAACGGTGAAATAAATAACGCGCTAATTGGAAACACATATTGTTGCATTGTTACATGGAAAGTATGTGGTATAATTAATTTCTCGATGAGCTTATCGCGAGTCTCAAGAAGTTTACAAGCGATAGCGGTCAGGAATACAAGAAAGGGTGCAGTCACAATTGAGAACATTTTCTTGAGACTACGTTAGCAATACACTGGTGACAATAAATGATATCATCAATGACGGCACTTAGCATACGCGATAGTTTAATTGATGAATATGAGTGCATGCAATGTCAATTCAAGTAAATGCAACAGATGACTAACTGCTGCATGAAGCTTCTTAATCTAATCTACTTCTTCATACAAATAAATTCCACCTTTCCTAGCAAGTGGCATGATCGAAACTAATATTTCATTATCGGTCATTTATGTCTTGAAATCATATTTTTCACTCGACAGTGAATTTCTTTTAAGTGAGTGTTTACATGAAACTGTACCTACACGCAATTAACTTCCAATATGATTCAGTTAATTCTGAGCAGAAATCGAACTGATGAAAGACAATTAACAACTATTGTTATTTATATGTATACTCATGATGATGAACTTGTGGTGTAGTAACTTACAGAATGCCACAAAACTGAAGGAAATTTTCAAAGGCAACGTTTTGGTTTTATCGCAAGAATAGATCTTTTCTCTGTTCCTTTAACGACACTTTGAGCCTTTGAATGGAGGAGTTGACCACATAACAACAACAATTAACATATCGTATTAATATCGACGACTGTTTCTCAACGAAACTTCACAACGATTCAACGTGCGCAAAACAAGAAGCTTTTCCTCGTGAGACAATTCACTCCCACAGTGAATGTTCCCAAATTGTATTCACTTGTATTTGTTTATCAGGTTCATTCCTTTTTACTTGGTTTACTTTTAGTTGTTCGCCATCACATTCAAACTAATTAGTTATGTGCACTTAGGCAACAAATGGACATTCGTATCCACCTACATGTATGTGACTATACGTATGTAAAGTTTGAAGAAATGAGCTTCCTCTTAATGAAGAAAATCCATCATGGAACTTCGAAGCTTCTACGGAAATTTTTTTGCTGAAAAATTTTCAAAATTTAGCTCGCTCAACGAAGTGAATCGGATAAGACCAGTTTATTCTCCAATCGCAAATCATTGTTCAATGCGAGTCTCAACACAAACGATTCAGGATACGGCACTCTTGTCGATGCTTCCCAAAGTTTAACAACGAGCGAAAATTTTTTGAAGTCCAACATCTCTCATATGAAGACCACTGTCTACGTTCATTGATTACATCGTATCTCTCTTTTGTTGTACTTCATCTTACCCTCTCTCACATTTGTGTTGTATTACATTTTCATTACGCGTCTACTCAGCTGCATTATTTCTCATGGTTAATGCATCAGTATTTTGCAACAGTGTAATGAAGTCTTATGATTTTAAGGTGAACATTATGACGTATGTTTTGGTTTATGATTTCATTGGCCCTACAGAGGGCCGTTGGGTTTGAGGTTTTTTGGTGGCCCTAAAGAGGACCGTTGATTTAAGGTATGCTGTTCTTGCCCCATGTTATACGAGGTACATGTCTGCAATTTGCTTCCACAAGTTTTATAAGCAATCTTCCCCTCCAAATTCTTTCTTCCAAACGAACCGTTCCACGTAGCTTGCTAATTACCCGCGACCATTGTCGAATCTGGACATGCATTTCTTTACTATGACGGATTTTTGCAATCTTCGTGAATTCAATTGAATGATGCTTTCTGAGCATACATAATCACTAACAATTCTGTTGCATCGTATAGTTTTTATACTACATCCAATTTGTCGTTTTCTCTGTCTCTCCATCCTCTCCATTCAAAAAACTCTTTCAGCCGTCAGACGGATATGGTGAGCGATACACACGGTCCTAGTTATGGAAGTAGACAGAAAAGTACTATGAGAAAGCCTTCTCTTTCGGATTTAGAAAAATTTTTGCTGGTTTTAAGAGTTTGGGGAGCGTATCGACAAGAGTGCTCAGGATATCATTATTTTCTCCGGCTGGAGAAATTCATTTGGTAACAATATTCGGAGCAAAAAATTTTTAAGTGTTCTTCTGGAACGGAATGAAACGAAGGAATCAATTAGTTGCAATGCAAGTATAACCATTCTATCCGCAAATTCAAAAAGAGCAAGAAGATAATCTCGGAGGTCTGTAGAGGTTGCTATTTTGGAGCAGCGTTTTTTGCAGCATTCAATTATCTTCTTGTTCTTTTTATCAGATCACTGATTGCATGAATAGCGATAATCAATTTTCCATCGAAGTTACCTGAGGAGCAGCAACAAAAATGAACACAATATACTTCATGCATAACTACATATAAGTAGGTTTTTGCTAATAATTTTCATTTTGTCTTGCTTTTAGGAGAAAAGTTTTTCATATACTTTCTGAATGTCCACTGAACCTTTGCTTAGGAATAAAACTGAAATCAGATAAACGAAAGAAGATAGAAACAGTCACTGAGAACGTCCCAGCGCAAAAGTTACTGTTATCACTATTGTTAGCGCTATTCTGTTGTCTCCTATCATAAAAATGCCACTGAGACGATGAAGAACATGTGAATTCGAACACAACGATGGTAACTACTTAAGCATCCCATCCCTTTCAGCCGATTCTTGAACCAGCTAATGGAAGAATCACCCCGTCTGAGAAACGAAACAATCAACGAAACGAATGGCTGCGTCAAACTAATGAATGGATATCAACTGATAGCATTGAAAGAAACTGATGAGTGATTAAAAGCTTTTTATTCCACAATATTTCACCAATTTTTCTCGTGAACGACAATGAAAAGACTCAAGTGAAATATTATGAGATGTGAAAAATTAACCATCAAAAAGCAAGCGATAGGGTGCATTTTAACCTCGACATCATTCAGTGCTTGATAGGAATTCACTCATAATGAACGAGCTGTGGTGATTTTATCATCATCACAATCATCATCATCATCATTATCATCACAATCATCATCATCACAATCATCATCATCACAATCATCACCATCATCACAATCATCATCACAATCATCATCATCACAATCATCATCATCATCACAATCATCATCACAATCATCATCACAATCATCATCACCATCATCATCATCATCATCATCATCATCGTCATCATCATCATCATTATCATCATCAAGTAATTTCACAAAATTTCCAAGAAATATTTTTTCATTCATCACTGACAACATTAGCTAATAAAAAAGCACTTCATTTGGATCATTCATTATTAATAGTCATTAAAATGACTACGACTGAAATCGTTAAGCAATCTAGTTCAATTCAATCCAATATCGTAGAAGTCAGCGTCAACATCACTAACAATAAACAGTGACTTGCCTTACCTCCGTCTAATTAATAAATCTATAAAATGAACTAATTATAATGCGATTGATGTCATAACTATTTATGGACTTGTTTCTATCAGTTAGCATCTTAATCACCATGTGTTCTCCTCCCAATGATGCTAACGAGGCCACCTACCATTGGATTGCTAATGAAGTAGTGAAAAGCTAAATGCATTTGGAACAATAGCAATATTCACACTACCGATTGCCAGAATAGCAATAGTGATTATTATTATTGTTATTATTATTATTATTATTATCATTTTTTAAATTGTTATCTTTATTACTATTATTATTATTATTATTATTATTATTATTATTATTATTATTATTATTATTATTGTTGCTGCCCGTATTATAAGGAAGAAA